GAAGAAGAGGTGGGTGTGGATGTAGAGGAAGAAGAGGATGTGACCGTTTGACCAGCTGCAAAAAACAAACAAACAAAAAATCAAAACAAACAACTAAAACACTGTTGAAGAATATGTTAACAGAAACATATGCCTGCATATTTTTACTAACAAACTTTACTAAAGTAGCTTTGCATGATTTACGGCTCAAAATAATGCTTATTTATCTTATCTAAGAGAAAGAACCCTTCAATCCATCCTGTGTGGAAAAAGCTGTTTTAACTCCTCCCCTTGAATGTCATCTCTTTAAGCCAACTTCAGTTTGATTGGCTGCCCCTCATAAAAAGAAGATTTAAATAAAGGTCATTATAGTTAATTATTTTTTCCAAACAGTTTAAAAAAATATCTGAAGTAATATTGTGCACTTTTAACAGCAAAACAATAGAGAATCTGTCTTTAATTGTAGTCTGCCAATTTCAACAATGCAGTAATGATGTTGTCTGTTTATTAAGAGCACAGCATCTACATGACTGAGACTCTCAAGCCTTTTAAAATTGTTGCATGCACTGAAATATCTGCTCAAAATGTCTTTGATCCTGACCCTGATAAAAACACCCCAGATAGCATCGTACAGATCCAGGAGTACAAAGGAAAAGAAACGTTTAATACGTCTCCTTTACTGAGTAGATCATCTCACCCATTTGTCCAGGGAGCAGCAGCTGTCCAACCAGTCCACTAATCATCTGGTTGAGAGCAGCGGGGTTGAAAGCCTGTGAGGAACATATTATTATTCATTGATAATGTTTAAATATCTCATGGAAATCATCACACTGCATTATTCCCACCTGTCCCGGCTGCTGGCCTGGCATGGCAGTCCTCACATTTATGGTGGTTCCCCGGGTACCAAAGGCAGGAGGGGGCATGTTGGGTGCAAACGGGGGTCGGGTGAAGACAACCCGTGCCTGGGGTTGGGGGCCAGTACTGGGTGGTGGCGGGGGAGCGGTAGGAGTGGTGCTGGGTGTATTAGGGCAAGTGGTCGTGGCAGAGGAGCTGGCTGTGGAGCTGGGAGGGGTAGGCTGCGGTGGGGTTGGTTGGCCGGTGGAAGCTGCGGTGGCGGCGCTGGTCGCTACGGCAGCAGCATATTGGCTGATTTGTTGCATGAGATTCCTCATAAAATCAGGAGGGAGGGCGCCTAAGGGTGAAACAAACACCAGGGAATTAGTATCACATGATTTAATTTAGTGGGTTTAGAGGATTTTCAGCAGTTAGCAAACGAAGGCTTTCGTTCTCATGACGTTCGCATGACGGAAAAAAATTAAGCTGTCAGAAAGCTTTTCTACATCATGTGGGCAACCCCAGCTCTTGGTACTTTTTCACTTTAGGTTTTAAAAGTACTTTGGCCCAAACAGCTCTGTAGCAAACATAAACCTAAACAGTTTAAAGTCTCTACTGTCTCAGCCAGCTAGTTAACTTGTAAATACACTCAAGGTAGGAGACCAGGGAGTCTACATCTGTCCAGCGCCAGTTTTCTGGCACAAAAATGAGAAGTGATGTTCAGCCATGTAAAAAACTAAAAAACAGGGCACATAAGATTTAAATATAAACAACAAAATTCATGAGCTATGACTTTG